TTGTGTGTGAGTAGCACGGCGGCAAATTTTGAGAATTCCATCACTGAGAGGTCCTGCATGTCGTAACTTAAAAGTAGGCGGTTTTGAAACCCACGCCAAGCAGGTTATCTGTCAGTGTACTGTCAGAAACGACGTTAGGACTTTAAGGGTCAAAGCCCAAATTGCAGCTAGCTGATTGGAGATTCAGAAATTGTGTAAGCCCAAGTTCTCAAAATTAGCCAATCAGTGGAATTTACCAGAGGAACTGACGTCCAGGGGACCTCAGTGTTTTCAGACCAAGAGTCACATGTTAGTTGACAAACAGTTGCCAAACAGTCGCCAAGTGCCTGCTACTCGTAAATAATTTGGAAACAAAATCTGTGTTTTTCGCTGTTCTGTATAACCTCAAGTTCAGAGTGCTAAAGAAAGTGTAAATTGTAATAATAACGTCCGTTATACCAGGACTGTGCTAGACAAGGACCTATATATAAGCATCCTTTGTATTGACTGTGTGTGCGCGTGTGTGTGTCATCAGGTGAAGGGAAGTGCTGATCTCAATAAATGGTCACAGTGTTTAAGTGCAAAGTAGCATTGAACCAACTGCTTCCCTCCCCGTCCTAAGCGAGGCCCTAGCAAACGCCCTGAGAAGGATCCCAGCTCTACCCACAGCTGAACTAGTTGACTATCACCTTTACCCCCTTTCCAAAATAAACCTCCGACTATTGTAAGCCGACACCACCTGAGCTTACTGGCGCTCAACCTAAGAAGAAGAAGAAAGAAGGAGAGGAGCGACAAACAACATGTGACTAACCAACCAACAAAGGGGGGAGTGAAGGTGAGGTAAGGACGGTTATAGAAAGAAGAGGTGGAGTCCAACGTAAGGGCTGGACGGTTACAATACCCTAATTCCACTCAAGTACTGACTAATTGACTGAATCTTTTTCAGTGCTGGGTTCGATTTCAACACCTTTTCTAACTTGCATTTAATTGTCTCTCCAATTTCACCTGGAGCGGAATTCAGTGAACAAGTTGCTTTCTGAACGAGTTGAAGTGAGTCGTGAAGGAGTGCACCACAAGATTCTAAGCTCTCAGTGGCTTTTGAAACTGTAGAAAAATGTGCATGGATAAAATTCAC